CTCACATTATATACCTATACATGTGCCATTTTCGACCACCGAACGAGAGTCCCCCTTTCTTCGTCTCTATTCCTCCAAGCGCCGGGAATAAATCATTGGGCTTCGGCCGTGGCGACTAGTCGGGAGAAAAGGAGAGAAAAATATAACCTGTTCGTTAAATTAATTTTGATGGAGCGGAAGCCGTAAACTACTGGCCAAAATGAATTGACTTGCGGTTTTTTTATTCCCGATCTTGTAGGCCAAGTGAGTGATGAAAATGAGGGGCATTCATTTAAATCCGTCAGCTTTGTTTGGAATAGGTGGAATTATTGGAAATTCGGGGCGATCTGCACATTTTTTTTTCTGTAGAAATATTTGATGGAAAATATTTTATAGAATAAATTAATAGAATGGGATTTTTCCTGTTGTTTTATTCATTTTTTTCACGAAGAGAAAAGAAAAATGGAGTTGAAAAAATTTTGAAAATTCGTGTCGAGGAATTCGAATAAAAAATTTTTTTTTTATTTAAATCATTTTTTCATTTTTGAAGAATTTATTTATTTTATGTGTGCATAGAAAGAATCAATAGAATTGCATTTTTCTAGACAATTTATTCTATTTGTGATATTCTCTATGGAAATTCCTGGCCCCAAATATTCCAAGATTTTGTTGTTTAATTTTTTTAATGAGAAAAGAAAAAATAGCATGAAAAAACTTGGAAAATTAATGTTTAGGAATTCGTATAGAAAAATCTCAATGGAAAAAATTTTTCCGTGTGCGTGCAACACCTCGAATCATCAATTTTTTTAATACTCAATTTCTCCATCTGCTGAGAAAATATTTCCTCTACCTTCTCCATCAAATCTCCCTCGACTCTTTCCGTACCCGCGACCCATTGACCCCCGGGGAACATCTCACGGTAAGAGGATGGTCCACACGCGCCCGACGCGAAGGTACACAATTCCCAACTCTCATTTCATCTATCAGACGGAAGTCTCGACACAACGAAGTTAATCTAGGTCGATTGGTCGCTGCAGTCTCGTGATACACGTGTCAGAGAATCCCACTGATTTCAACCGGAAGTTGTCCATTAAAACTGGGAAATAAATAATAATAAATCGGGACGATGATTCCTCGAAATCATTAACAGTGAATCTAAACGAGAAACATTGGAGGAGAGGAAAGTGCTCTTGGACGAGTGACTGGAGATGAATGAAACCGGGGGCTACGGCTCGAATAAACATCCACTCGACGTAATCTCCTAAGAGGCCCCCGGGAACACGAAAAATTCGGGGATGAATGCAGCATCGGCGCCTCACAACGCTCAGCGCCCTTTTTTTTCAGCTATTGTGCTCATTATGCACCAGTTCTCATGCTCAATGAGACTCTCTCCAATGGACTCGACTCTTTTGTCAGCTAACAGTCTCAAAGAATTTATTTTTATTAAACTATAGAAGAGAAGTTTATCGCAATTGTTGCTCGCATGAATGAATGGAGAATATTGTTTTCAATTCAAGAAACATTTTTTTTGTGGGCGAATATTTTTAATTTGTTATTTTTAATTTAAATTTATTTTTAATTTTTTTTCACTTTATTTTTTTATGTTCAAATTTATTAATTTTACGCCTGAATAGAAAAACCAATAGAATTCCATTTTTTATACAATTTATTCTATTGAGATATTTCCACAAAAAATTGTAACCTTAAATTTGCCAAATTTTTGTCGTTCATTTTTTAATGATTTTTCTTTAGAAAGTTTATGTCGAGAAATTTATATAATATTATTAATTAAAGAGCAGTTTTTCTCGGTAAATAATGAATTCTGAATTTTCGCAAGAACAACATTTTGGCTATAAATAAGTAAATTAATCAATTCCAACGAATGCTTCCTATTATTTTTGTAATTATTCCGCTGCAATCAGGAAAATTGCCTTCATACAAGTTTTCAGTCGTTACGCCTCTAGTTCAAACTCATCGTGTGAATAGCAATATCGTTTTATAAATGAAGTACCAAGAACGATAGAAAGGAAAATACATTATTTTCTTCACGGACTATATTTCCGCGTTTATTACATGGTCTGTTTTGAGGTTGAGTGAAGAATAATATTACCAAATGATATGACGAATAATGGAACCATCTGTGTCACTAATCGGTCACTCGGTTCATTGGCATTTGAATTGTTCCAGATTTTCATTGATAACGAGAACTTATTCTCATACGCGACTTTGTTGTGTGTGAACAGGGTACATATTGCAAACTTCTGGAAAATGTGTTATAGCTGTCTGTGAGTGTAGGGTGTGTAGGAACTTCCAGGTGGCTACAATGAAGCAAATGTTAAATGAAGTTTCATTATTTATTAATCGGAATGAAGCACTTCGCGTCTACAGACCTGTGAATAAACGCTGAAGTCCATTTTTCCGTCATTTCTGAAGAGTAATAATGATTGAGCGTAATTGTGGCAACTGTAATGTAGTAAAATTATTAAAAAAGAAGAACAAAACTAAAACTAAATGACAAAAATTTAGTATTTTTATTATTAAGTTATTTAGACAGATTAGTTAGTTCAGGCATTTTTTAAATGTAAATAATATAAATAATTCTTTTAGTCACGAGTATTATTTCGACCTGTTGATTTTATTAGTCTCATTGTTATATTTTATGCCAAAAATGAGAGATCACGTTTTTGTTAATCAATTTCTTTCGGGAAAATTGATCAAAAATTATTACGTTCTCCAACTGAAATTTCGCATTCGTAGCGACGTGAAAAATAAACTGCTTCGCTGACAAAATGACAATGTCACGGGTAAAAAAATTTAAATTTTCATCAACTAAATAAAATTTAAAAAATATAAAATACGTATTATTTTCATTTTATACTTACCATTCACTTAAACATAACAACATTAAATCTGTGAATTGAATCGAAAATAAAAGCCACAAACCAAAGACATCGAAGAATTCAGGGATTGAATAAATAAAACCCCCACAAATATCATTTAAATTGAATTAATTAGTTATTATTCATATTTTATACAATAATAATCATAGTTAAGGTATTTTAGTTTTCTTCCATAACATCTATGTTAAAGAGGAGGGAAACGATTTTCTCACTCACATCGCACGGACCAAAAACCAAAAGATCATTCGGATTTACAAAAAAAAAATACAATCGGGAGCGCGAAAACGGTAAAATCGATAATCGAGAGAAAGGAGAGGACAGGAGTGTGGGTGACTTCTTTCCTAATTTATAATACCATACGATAGACAACATCTTGCTTTCTCGCCACGTGCGCACACACTCTCTCGTGTTAGCATCAGTAATAATTCACCGCATCCGCTCCCTTGAATTTTATTCTCTTCTTCTCTTTTCGTCGTCAACACACGTGTAGTCAACTCTCGGGCGAGGGCAGATTGCTCTATATACGTGTACCTTCTCATTTTTCATCTTTTATTTATCAATTACAACTATCATTATTTTTTACAATCTTAGATCACAAAGTTATATTTTACACAAATCCACTTAATGACTTAATACCTAAAATGTTTTTGGGCTCCCGGCGCCTTATGTACAAATAGGGAAATTTCTTTTCATCGAGAAAACGTTAATACGCCAGGATGCTAGTAAACGCTAGAAAAAAAATCTACTCGACCCTCGGGGTCGTATTCTCCATTTATTTATTTTCCTCGTTCTCTCTTAAATTTCATTTTCGAGAAAAAAAATCCCAACGCAACCCGTCCAGCCCCGGTGGCTATCCGGACATTAGAGAAATTAATTTCGTCAGACAAAACGTTTTGGACTGCGTCCTAAAAGCGACTGGGGCAAGACGGGCGGTTTTTAAAAATTCTGTTTTTTTTTGTCAATTTCGGGAATTTTTTTTCTCGGGTTTTTTTTTTCCGGAAATGGATTTTTATTTGCTATTTACTCTTCGGCTCATTTCTCTCTTCCCAGGAGGATAAACGCCCTTTTATCGGTGATTAGAACACAACTGCAGGTTTTGTTGTGATTTATTTAGTGCTGGAGAGCTTCCCCTGAACCTGAAATGATTTTCCGCGCATTGGCTAATTGGTTTTCACCCTTGGGAGGGGGATTTTCCTTCCTCTCTTCTACTCAGTGTCTGTCTTATTAGTTTATAGAGTCGTACATGAGGTTTTCACTTTTTTACTTCCGTGGGAAATCAATGCAATCGGAGAATGGTAATATTGCATGATGTTCTCACCAGTGGAGAAGGGATTGTGGCTTTGCGTACGATTCTAAATTGCTGGTTTGGAGAAATAAACTCGGGTGTTTTGTACTGCTTTCCAAGTGCATTTTTCATTTCGCCGGGATGGCGGAGGGGAACCAACTTCCGGAAAAATACACACGGGGGTTCAAGTCGATTTCCTCTAATCAAAATTACATTTTTTATGGGAATACCTCAGTCGCTGCGAGTTTGCATAATTTCCCGCCTGATTATGGTTTTTGACGGATGGGGGGAGCCATACGGTGGTCGAACAGGTGGGGCACTGGTGATTGAACGGATGAGATGAATAAATTATACGAAAAATCCAAGATCTCGGGACCAGCGTGGGTGGGAAAAATTTTCTGGAGATCATTTTTTGTTATCTTTCATCTGCAAAAATCGCTCGGGGATTCTGGGGTTTTTTCAAAATATTTATTCAAATTTAGTTCAATTGCGCTATCACATGAATTTATCCAAAGAACTCGGATATTTTTTCTCCTGTGAAATTCATTTGAGCCCCATCTGACCTCAAGTTTGCAGAGATTTCATAATGATTTTTATTATTTAAATTTTGTAGGTCTGAATTTTAATCTCCATATGGAACCGTTAGAAAATATTTTAAAGATCTGAAGAAGAAAATTAGAAATTTTGATTTTGGAAGATTGATGAAATGATTTAAAAATTGCAATTTTTGAAAATTACGAGCATTATTTATGAATAATTTACAAACAATCAATTTTCCAACAAAAATAATTTGTTCGAAAACGTAACAAATTTATTCATGAAAAAATAAGGCTCTCGAAAGTTCAAATAATTTATTTGTTTATAAACAACGCAATGTAATTGACACATTTGATGATTGAAAATGCTGGAATCTACGTTGTGGCCTGTGCCAAACCTCAAAAGATATTTGGATATCCTTAAATATCTCCGAAGCTTCGAGCGACGTATTCCACGACAAGATAAATTTTCTTACGATTCCATCTCAACTTAAATTCTAATTCCTCATTAATTTTCAAAAAATCGATTGTCCCTCGAAACTCGAAAGCCCCCACTTCCACGCTGGACCCCCGAACTGAATCCCATCATCCCAGTGGCATTAAAAAAAGTGAAAAAAATCCTAATCGACCGGAAGCATTAAAGGAGGTGTGTTCCCCCATTTTTCCCCTTATTTTTTGTTCCCTGACGACACTAATGAAGCTAGGGAGACAGGTCCGGCGCCGTGAAGCTAATTTTTTCCCCTCTCCAAGCTGATGTACCTTTTTTTTCGGTCAATTCCATCCTCAACTCTGGTTGCCTCATCCAGTAGAACAGACAGAAAAGACAGAGGGCGGAGTGGAGGTAACTCCACAGACACTGATTACATCTCGCGCCACTGCGATTGCCTCGTTTCGCTCACGAAAATGTCATTAGGATTTCATTAATTCAAAACCGCCGCAAGCAAACCCCAAGACCATACTCTTTCCTCCGAGATACGCTTGTGCAACTGGTTGCTTCTGTCTGCAATTTCATGATTTTTCTCTCTTTTTGTTAGTCCCGGTGGGTGACCCGAGGGTTCAAAAAACCCCAAGTGGGTCACGTTGGCCAATGAAATGAACCCGAGTACAGAATTTCGTGATTTTATTATTTTCGAGTTCATGATTATTTCGCGGCGACAATTTCAGGATTTGTGGGGGAGCGATCGCACCTTTTTCTCGGCAGCAACTGGATCCACCGTTGGGAGTTCCTCTGGTACGTGAAACAGCCGATTTTGGGGTGTCCAATCCCGTTGGGGGAGGCTAGGGGGGACTGTGGCTAGGTTAAACCGCTGGCCATACCCTGGAATTAAAAAGGAAGGGGTGAATTTTCCGGGGCGAATGCGGATACTGGAGGAATTAATGTCTCGGGAAATAACATTGTGGATCTCAAAATCGAATTATTGGAATGGAAATTCATCGAAAATCCGTCGAAAAATAATAAATCAAAAACAATTGTTAAAGTCCATTTCACATTAATTTTGGGCTTTTGATTTTAGATATATTGAGATTTCAGTCAAATACACTTGAATGGCTGAGAAACGTCAATAAAATCACATTAAAAGAATCTTAAACACAAGTAAAATTGTTTCCTCAAATCAGCTGCAATGTCACTTCCCCAAAAATTTCCATTCGTCTCCAACAATTGTCCTATAAAAAAAATTCTCCAATTGAATATTTCAACTGCAAAAATCCGCGGAAAAATAATAATTTATGAGACTCACGTGAGTAATCCGGGATTGGGGTCAGCTTGGTACCACGAGTACTGGGGCATGTATCCCGGGTGATGCGGCGGCGGGGGTAGGGGAGGCGGATGATGCCCAGGCGTATGGGGATGATGATGAGTGTGTGGTGGTGCGTGTGCATGTGGGTGGTGTTTCATTTCACCGGTCCATGATGGCGCTGGTGGACTCTCGTTGTGCTGCGGCGACATATCACTGCCGGGCGTCGAGCTGCCCGGTGTATTCTCACCCCCGCCACCCCCCATTCCACCCAGGTAACCCGTCGTCGGGCTCCCCGACACCGAACTACCACCGCCTGCAGCAAAAATAAACAGGAAAAATCGATGAAACAATCTGTTACTTCATTGTGGGCACTTATTTGCGGGGGAGGATGATAAATTATTTGTCGTTGCACATGTGATTGCCATTTTTATAGACCAAAAAATTTCCTGTCTTCTAGGTAATATGCTGATGTCGGGATGTTTTTTATTTTCGAAAGAAATTGGGTTTAATTTAGAATATTCACATTTTTTAAAATGAAAATTACATTTTTCAGCATTTTTTTATCCAGAAATGGCACAGCATGCCATTTTTAAAGTTACATTTTTGTGTTTATATCGTTAATTCACATTGTTTGAGATATCACAGATGTCCAAGTGTCTATATATAGTATATTATTAATTTTTTAAACATTCGGTGTTCATAAATAAATAATTGAAATTGTTTAAACTTCCGAAAACTTATTTTTTAGGCATGAAATCGGTTTCTGGTAAAAGTTTGAATATGAATAAATTTGTTGTAATTCCAAAAAAATTATTTTTATGGGGGAAAATTGATCGTTTATAAATTATTTCATTAATTTTCCTCCAAAGGTAAACTCCAATATTTTGTTCGTTTTTAAAATGTTTTCTAACAGTTGAAAATCGAGATTCAAATTCAGATTTACAAAGTTCAAATAATGAAATCATTGTAAAATGTTCAGAAACAAAAGCAGAAAAGCATTTCACTGGAGAAAAAACAGCCAAAGTACTCGGATATCCTTAATAAATAATTTCGCTGCATTCATGATCAATATTTTCGGTAATAAAAGGAGAAATAACTAGAAATGGAGTTGTAGCATAATTTCATGCATAAAATAGAGGAACAATTTTAATGATCGCGTGACACTTACCGCCCTGCATGAGACCCCCAGGTTGTCCGGGCTGAGGCGATGGGCCACCGGCCAACAGGCTTCCGTGCTGTCCACCACCGCCTCCAACCTGCTGTGCTGCTTTCATCATCTTCTTGTACTTACTCCTTCTGTTTTGAAACCAGATTTTCACCTGAAGCAAATGAAAAACAACAAATCCATCAATGCGTCGTTCCAAACGCGATTATAATTTCTATTTTCCACTTAAATAACTGTTTCAAATGATCAATTATTATATTTATTTGGGTCGAATTAATCGATTGTGGATTCTATTAAAACACTTTCAGTTAAACAAACATGTCAGGGTATTAATTGAGAAAAAAAAAGTCCAAATGAACAGAGAATTTTCTAATGAAGTTGTATTCATTCACCTTCAGATTTTCACCTCAAGCAAATTAAAATTAAAAATCAATTATTCCATTCACAAAAATCATTAAATTAATTCACGAACGATCCTTTATTTTGGATCAAACGAGTTCAATACTCTCCCCAAAAAAATTCTAGAAATCAATACAAAATTTTCCGATAAATTCTCGTATTCGATTCGAATGTGTCATTTCCCCGGCTCTAATAATCCCATTAAAAAAATCCTCCCCAACCGTTTACGATGCAGAAGCCTCCAATCAATTAAAAGAATTCATTCAACAAATGTTAGTACGTAACACGCATCTCCCGCTGCCGTAAATATCGATAAAAGTCAGCGCTTACCGGACACTGTTTGAAATAGCGTTAACCCAGCGACTTGGATGTTCAACGTACGAAAATACAAGGTCACAGGGCCCTTTGTCGGACGCCATCGACCGTGCAACATCTCGCTTTTTCAAACAAGAGCAATTAGAACGAGATTTATTCGCACCGGCACGCCGCGCGTGGATTCCCCTCTCTTTACTCGATCCCGCTTGTACTTCAACCCCTTCCCCACCCCTCCCCTTTCCCCTCCCGCGCCGCTGTGTGTATAAGAGTAAAACGGATAGTTTGAAACAATGCCGCGCGGGTCTGAGTCCCTCCTTATTTCTCTCTTCGCCAATTTTTTTTATTCATTTTTCATCATGCCTCATTCTTCTTCAGGAACATATCTTAGGACCAGAGTTTTAATGAACTCGTTTTGACGTGACGCCGGGGTCCTTTCCGCGGGCCATCCGGCTCCACCTTCTCCCCATATACCCCTGCAGACGACTCGGTTAATTAAAGTTACCAACCGACTGACTGACACGCGGCCAGAACCGAATTATGCAACTTTTTTTTAAATAATCCTGTCGTGTCTTCTTGGGGATTTCTTTGCGCGGAGGGTTTTCAGGGGTGGGGGGATGTGTGGGAGGGGATAGGGGGGAAAATTGTGGAGAAAATTGTGGGAAGATGTGGTGGAAATTCAAATTTCAGGGAAATTTCAGTGTAATTCCTAATTTTTTGGCGGTAGAATGACGGGAATTTACCGATTCTCTTGAATTTTCAATCGAAACGTTAATTTTTGGTACAAAATTGTGAGAATTTTTGGTTAATTAATAATTTAAAAAGGCTTTACCCTGAATTTCTCTGATTTCCAGACGTTTGGGGGAATGGTTGAACTGAAATTCGGAGATTCACTGAATTTTTAATGACGGAATTCATTGGAATTTCGGACAGGTGACATTGAATGCGATTTAGGGGGATAAAATAATGAAATTTCAGATTTCCCTGAAAATTGAATGCAAATGCTTATTTTTAGCAGAATTAAGACGAGAATTTCCCAACGCCTGTAAAATTTCAATGAAAAAATTCAATGAACTAAAAATTCAAGAATATATTCAACGAAATTCCACCGACTTCCCTTAATTTTCGTGGAATAATCCCCTGAACGTTCGAATTCTCCTAGAATTCCCCATGAAATTCGGAATTTGCAATGGAATTTTCAATTCAAAATTCCCTCAAATGTCAATGAAGCTAAACTATAACAAAAAATTCTCCCAGTGCACCTCAATTCCGGAATTCAAACAACTTCAGATTCCCTGACAATCGAATTAAAATTCAAATTGTTTAACAGCATGAAGACAAGAATTTTCCACCGCCTTTAAAATTTCAATGAAAACATTCAATTCACTAAAAATTCAAGAATATATTCACCGGAATTCCACCGACTTTCATTAATTTCCACGGAATAATCCCCTGAACGTTCGAATTCTCCTAGAATTCCCCATGAAATTCGGAATTTGCAATGGAATTTTCAATTCAAAATTCCCTCAAATTTCAAAGAAACTAAACTATAACAAAAAATTCTTCCAGTGCACCTCAATTCCGGAATTCAAACAACTTCAGATTCCCTGACAATCGAGTTAAAATTCAAATTGTTTAACAGCATGAAGACAAGAATTTTCCAACGCCTTTAAAATTTCAATGAAAACATTCAATTCACTAAAAATTCAAGAATATATTCACCGGAATTCCACGGACTTTCATTAATTTCCACGGAATAATCCCCTGAACGTTCGAATTCTCCTAGAATTTCCCATGGAATTTTCAATTCAAAATTCCCTCAAATTCCAAACAAACTAAACTGTAACAAAAAATTCCCCCNTAATTTCCACGGAATAATCCCCTGAACGTTCGAATTCTCCTAGAATTTCCCATGGAATTTTCAATTCAAAATTCCCTCAAATTCCAAAGAAACTAAACTGTAACAAAAAATTCCCCCAGTGCACCTCAATTCCGGAATTTCCAGAAAAGCCACTCGTCACCTTCGCAAGCCTCCCCCTCCCCCCCCCCGCAGTGTCCTTTACACAATACTCTACTTTCTCCATCACCCTTGGATTTGCAAAACACACATTGTCTACAGAGTGCCACATCGTTGTGGCAATCGGCAGTCCCCCGACAGTTTGACCCGCGAACAAGTGTGCGAAGGAGGTATGATGCGCCCCGAGGCTATAACCGGCCTTTTGTCGATATTCAGTCTCTGCATACGTCAACCCGGCGATGGAATGGAGAATATTTCACGTTTATTACTCGCAGCAACAATTTTTTCCCCTGAAAAATGTCCGCAATAAAACAAACGTCGAGGGCATTTTATTTTTCACCAGTGCACCTGCACCCGAAGCACGGTAGAAAATTAATGCAAATATCCGTGAAAAGTTTAGAGCGGTTAGACGGAATATTCAAGTATTAAAAATACTCCCCAGCCGTATCTTCGTGGCCTCCAGGGTCTACCGTATGCCGCAGTCCCTCGGTTTTATACACTGCAGACTGATTTTATATACCACCGGCACGGGCTCAAGCTGTCGTTTGTCTTGGCGACGTGCACGACGAGGAGGCTCAACATTTTTCTCAGGAATTACGGAACTTCCGGGGTAATGGGAGTTTTTAGTTTTTTTCGTTTTATTTTCATGTTTCTTTTTGTTTACCGAGGAAAGCTTTTGACATGGGAGAAATGCCATGTGATATCATTATCACTGGGTCGGCTTGGAGAATTTACAAGTGGAGCAGTCCCTGTAATGAAGTGAATTTTTAAAATAATTCTTGTGAACATGGAAATAAATTCAGTAGCGAAGCGGTAACACGGTTTTTGATAAATATCTCGGAATCTAAGGACAATAGCAAAATTTTTGTTACGAACTTTTTTGTGGAGCGAGTTAAGAGCTACAAAAAAGGTTATTACGAAAATTTCGATATCTCGATTAGATTCGGAGATATCCTGCGAAAACTCGGCGAAGAGCTAAGGCAACTGAGAAATGAGTGAAAGAAAATTGATCAGAGTTTCAAAATTATTCATTAATAAAAGAAGGGATTGTTTTGCAGTGAAAAAATGAGGTTTCACACAGGTAAATGAGGCGATAGATCAGCGCCGGCGTCAGCTCTACTCGGTGAAAATAATAATGCACAATTTACCCGAGAATACTATAAACACACACGGGTGATAATTCGTGGGTAAAGACTGCTCAGGTCACTGACCTGTGATTACAGTAATTATCCGATTAAAATGCCAAGGAGTGATTAAGTAATTTTCGATCCTAGATAACGCCACTGGAATTCACAAAAAAGAAAGTTTCGAACGAAAGCTGAAAACATTTAACTCGAATAAAGTGTCAGAGCCGTTAAAAACATCATAACGTATATCTAATGACTGTAATAATGGGATTTAATAATAACGTAATTTACATAGTTGTGGCCGGGCACGAGCCACTGATTTTTAGAGGTCATTCATGTAAACAAGCTGATGAAATTTTGTTCATTGACCTCAAGAGATGATGTAAAATCACCTGATACTTCGACTCAATTGAAAATGTTTGTTTGAAAATTTTTATTTGACTCAAATAAAGGATTTAATTATATCGAATAAGCGAGTTATTAATTTCAAATAAAATTTGCATTAAATTCAAGGAAACATTTTATTATTCCGAATAAATCATTTATTAAAATGAAACAAACAATTGAGTCATTTCAAATAAAGGAATTTTCGCAATATAAAAAAAATCTTTATTTATAAATAACTTAAAAAATGTCTCTTCTCTGGATATTTTTTTTAGGTCTCACCTCAAAGTATCGCCCCAAACAGATAATGTCAATTAGTACCAAGGGGTCATGACCCTCAATCGCTCCCCACGATCTAATCTATCACGGACAATAAGCAATCACAGCATCGCCGAGTGAGTCAGTATCGCAAGCTCGTCGCTTCATACCACTAACAAATATTTATTTTTGAGGTTTAACATCGAAAGTTCCACGTAATTACGTAGTTAAATAATTGCATTAAAAATTTATTTTTCATTTTTTTAAGCTGCAAAGATGATTGCATCTCAAGCAGAATAAAATGTTATTGTGAAATCAAATGCTAAAAATATAAAATAGACTCGAGTCACTAATGGATTATAAGTTTAATCAATATGAAGAAGATATTTATGAAGATGTGTATGTACGTAAATACTAATTGTTCATTGAATAAAAAAATTGAAAAATAAAAAAAGTGAGAGCAAGCTCATGCGTCAGTGAAAGTGAGGGGTAGTGAGCCCTCAAAGATTAAATCCAGCGCCCGTCGAGTACTTTGACATCGACTAAAAATCTCAGTCATCCCAGTATTTTTGCTGCCAACTATTTGTCTTTTTCATCACTTGTTATGTCAGCATTTTTTCCCTCCTTTTTTCCCCTGCATGAGTGAATTCATAATGC